GTACGCGCTTGCATACATATACACAGACCTTTATACATGCAGTGTATGATCGTATAGCGCAACTAACACACGCTGACACGTTAACACATACACATGTGTGTAGTATGTGTGTGTGTGCGTGTGTGTGTGTGAAATGTATGGTTTTATTCAAAAATGTATTTTGATGTTCACAGCCTTTCCAACCGGGCGAAGTTCCTTTCCGTGAGGTCGTGGCTCCGATCACGCTGTTGGTCTCCCATTTCTGGCTCACTGGATCAGGGTCGTGCAAGGGGTGTTTCCCGTTGCCTTCCCTCACCAAGGAGCTCCATAAGGGAGAAGGTGATATTTGCCGTCCGCCGCCGATGCTTCCTTGGCACCATAAGACACTTGATCTTCACTCGCACCCTCAGTAGGGGTCCTGGATGGTCCTATCCAAGCCGACAGTGTGGAACCTTGGCCGCTTTTTTCTTTCGGATTTCTGTATGTGCGGATAAAGGCCGCTTCTTCAGGGTCTTTCGCTGGGAGGTCAGTCGCCTTGCAAGACTGAGCATCTTCGCAGGCTTCTTGGATGCATCTCTCATGGTTCCTCGCGGAATGGACTGGATCCGGCTGTGATGTGGCCTCGGGTCGCGCCTCCATGGTCGGTGTCTGCAGGGTCGGCCTCACTCGGCGAACATCATCTTATTGCGGAGTGTTCATCTTGCCGAACAGCCGTGGCCCTTGTTTTCTGTGCTGCCATCGCTGAGAAAGGTGGTCAGGGATGTCCTTCATTCGCAGTTCCGCGAAGAGAATGCCTTTGCCGCTTTGACCATTTGCACTGAACTTTCGCCAGACGTAAAAAGGGCAGACTGAACTCGGATCCACCGCCCTGGCCGCACCCCACGCGGAAGACCCTGCGCGGGGGCCCGGACGCATGCCCCACGCCCCCTGTGCCCATCCAGGGGTACTCAGCGGGCGGCGGAGGGAAGGCGTCGCCGGCCTCCCTTGGATGAGGCGCCCCGAGGCTGAGCAGGACTCGCCCGGCGGGCGTGGTCTCCAGGCGGCACCGTTGCACGAAAGCCTTCCTAGCCTGTAAGCCTCTGGCACGCCTCGCGCGGCCCGAGACCCAGCGAGGGTGCGCGTAAGAGTGACGTGCAGGGTGAGATGAAGCCTATTTCGCAAGCGATCGACATGACATGACGTGAGTGAAGGGTGCGAGGGAAGCCTCACGGAGGGAGTGCCATGAGCGAGAGCCAAATGAAGGACTCAGATCCCGATTTTTCGTTATATATGTGTGTGTGTGTGTGTGTGCGTGTGATATATATATATATATATATATATATATATATATATATATATATATAATATATATATATATATTATAGTGTGTGTCTGTGCATGGCTATATGTATATAGCTATGTCCTGCATATCCTGCATACAAGCAGACAACTGAAACAATGACAACTTCACGTCCCGCCAGCACAGACAGGCGCCCCAGAAAGACAAAGTTCCAATTGCAGAATCAAACCGAAACAGACCAGGCTTGTGCAGTGTTGCTAACTAAATCAACGGCCGGCCTGCAGCTTTTTTGGGGCCGTTTGCAGGAGTTATGGTGATCGAGGCATTTATATGGTAATGGGGCCCGGCCGGACTTTTGCTTTTTCTTTTGCCTATGATCTATTTTTTAATTAGGATCTTTTTTTTTTCTCTCTCTTTCTGTCTCACTCTTGATAGATTCTCTCTCTCTCTCTCTCTCTCTCTCTCTCTCTCTCTCTCTTTCTCTCTCTCTATATATATATATATATATTATATATATATATATATATTATAATATATATATATATATCTGTTTCTCTCTATCTATCTATCTATCTCTCATTCACTCTCTCTCTCCCTTATTTTCTCTCACTTTCTCTCTTTCTACTCCTTTCTCTTCTTTCCTTTCTCACCCACTTTCCTTACATTTCTTTGCCTAATTCTCCTCCCTTCTTGATTCTCTCTCTCTCTCTCCTCTGCCACTTCTCCCTCTCTATTTTTTCTGTCCCCCTCCTTCTTTCTCCTCTCTCTCTCTTCGTGTTTCTTCTCCTCCTTTTCTTCGATCTTCTCTCTCCTCCTCCTCCTTCTTTTCTCTCTCCTCCTATTTCCATTCTTACCTTTTACCCCTCTTTCTTCTCCTTCTCCTCTTCCTTGTTCTTCATTCTCTCTCTTCACCCTCTCCCTTCCCCCTCTCCCACCTTTCTATCTCTCTCTTCCTCTTCTGTTTTCCCTTCTCCGTCATGTTTTTTCCTATTTTCCTTTTTCCTATGTCCTCCTTGACCTTCTCCTCTCCTCCTCTTTCCTCCCCATCCCCTGTCCTCCCTCCCTTCCCCTGCCCTCCCTCCCCTTCCCCTTCTCCTCTTCTTCTCCTCCCTCCCCTTCTCCCTCCTCTCTCTCCCTTTTCCCTTACCTGTAGTACACACTATTCCCCCGACACAGACTTTCAGACCTTACCATGAAACGGTCGCAAAGGACCCATTGTCCTTTTTCCCTTCTTGTCTCCTTCTTTAGTTTTAGTTTTATCATTTTTTTATTTTGTTTTTTGTTTCCGAGGCTCTGCTTTCATAATCTGCTCCCGATTTTGAAGTCATTGCTTCTTTGTTTTGTCTTGTTCATTGCATTTTTGTTTATGTTTTTTCTTTAACTCAAACAGAGATAAATATCATAAAGCACATGCACCGCCTGACTTTTTTATAATAATGCCATCCTGTCTTCTTTAAAACGCACACACTCACATACACATACACACACGTACACACATACGTACACATACACGTACACACACGTGCACACATATACACACACACTCGTTCACACATACAACACACACACACACACAGATAAATAATACACAAGAAAAAAAAAGTAAAGTAAAAACGAAAACAAAAACAATAATACTAAAAGTATCACCAATGTGCACAAACTGTGGCGGTCGCGTAGACTCTCTCATCAACATCATCCAGCACAGTTGGCTCGAGAATGCTGCTCCTGTTGTGACGCCCAGGAAAGGATTACGTGGAGGTGCGTCGCAGTTTAATGCGATTGTGACTGAAGGGGGGAAGGGAGGCGGAGATAGAGGCAAAGAACGAGAAAAGGGGATGTGGAGGGAGGTGGGGAGAAAGAGAGAGAACGAGAAGGGAAGTGGAGAGGGAGGGAGAGAGCAAATAGATGGAAATTAAGAATAAAGAGGAGAGGAAGAAACGATTTCATTGGAAGAGAAGGAGAAAGTGGTGGAAGAGAAAAAGGAGAAAGTGGTGGAAGAGAAAAAGGAGAAAGTGGTGGAAGAGAAAGAAAAGGAGAAAGTGGCGGAAGAGAAAGAGGAAAAGGAGAAATGGAAGAGAAAGAGGAGGTGGTGGAGGGGCAAATAGTAGTTATACTGTTGGAGAAGCTGGTGGTTTAAGAACAAAAAATTAAAAGATAGTGATAAAGGGAAAATGAAACAGAAAAGAAAATTACGATGACGAGGGAAGTGAGACAGAAGAAGGAGAGAGATAAAGAGGGAGAAAAGAGATCGAGAGAGAGAGGAAATGAGAGAAAAAAAAATCAGGGCCCAGGGCGCTGGTTCCATGCATATAAATCCCAGTATTTATAAATAGTGAGGATGAAGCATGGCTCGGGTGTTCCTCTCCCTCTCCCTCTCTCTCCTCGACGACTTTTGATTAAAACGTTCCATTTCTATGTGAACGCTTGTTTGTACATATGTGCATCCGTGTACATGCCGGTATGCTGTATGGCGGCGGGCCGGGAAGTCCATTTCAGGCAGACTGGGAGGCAACGGTCGCTGGTTCAGTTGGGCTTTCCGTGTAGGCTTATCTCTTTTTGGAGGCTGTACACGATGGCTGGGTTGTTGTTGTATCTATTGTGTCTGTGGACCTGCTCTTCTGTTTCTCCTGTCTGTGCTCTCTCTCTCTCTCTCCTTCCTCTTCTCTCTCTCTCCTCTCTCTCTCTCTCTCTCTCTCTCTCTCTCTCTCTCTCTCTCTCTCTCTCTCTCTCTCTCTCTCTCTCTTCTCTCTCTTCTTCTCTGTCTCTGTCTCTCTCTCTCTCTTCTCTCTCTCTCTCTCTCCTCTCTCTCTCTCTCTCTTCTTCTTCTTCTCTCTCTTCCTCTTCTCTCTCTCTCTCTTCCTTCTCTCTCTCTCTCTCTTCTCATCTCTTTCTCTCTCTCTCTCTCTCTTCTCTCTCTTCTCTCTCTCTCTCTCTCTCTTCTCTTCTCTTCTCTCTCTCTCTCTCTCTCTCTCTCTCTCTCTCTCTCTCTCTGCTTCACTTAAATTTTTCAGCATGCAGAAAGAAAATGTGTTTTGCATTCTGCACTTTTGCTCTTTCTCACAGGTAATCACTCAGACTGAACCCATTAAGAGAACAATAATTGTGTTTTCCCAACAGAAAAAATATATATACTGTATATAGCCGTGAGTTTTTGTAACAATGTTTTTCTTCTCTCCCTCTTCCCCTCCCCATCTTTTTTTCCTCTATCCTCTTATCCCTTGTATCTTCCCACCTCCCCACCCCCTCCTTCTTCTCTCTCTTTTGTCTCTCTGATCCCCAACCTACCTTTTCCTTCCATTTTTCCTCGTCCCTCTCTCCTTCCTCCTTGCTCTCTTCCTCCCCTTCCATGTTCCCTCCCTATCCCTATATTTCCTTTCGCTCCGTCCTTCTTTCCTCCTTCCCTATCTCCCTATATCCCCTCTCTCTTCTCCCTCCACCCTCCTCCATCTTTCCACCTCTCTCCTCTCTCGCTCACCCTCCCTGCTCTCCGCTCCTTCATCTTCTCCTTCTCTCATTCCACTTCTTCTCCAACTCTCTCTCCCTCCCTCCACCCTTCCTCGTCCCCTCCTCTCCCTTCCCTTCCCCCCTTCCACCCTTCCCCCTCCCTCCCTCCCTGTACCCACCCCTTCCCTCCTCCTTCACCCCCCCTTCCCTCCTTCCCTTCCCCCCTCCCTCCCTCCCCTCCCTTCCCTTCCCCTTCCTTCCTCCTTCCTCCCCTCCACCCTCCCTTCCCCCCCCGCAGGTGGACCTCCGGCACGTGGACGAGATTCAGGGGACTAACGTGGTGACTCTGGGCGTGGACCTCTCCGAGTTCTACATGTCGGTGGAGTGGGACATCCTGGAGGTTCCTGCGGTGAGGTGAGTGCTCCTCCTCGGACTCTTCTGAACCCTTTTTAGAATCTCCTTTTTTCAGGTTTATTTTGATTTCTTTGTCTGGTTCCTATGGTTTAGGTGTGTGATTGTTTTATTGTTTTTTTTTCGTGTGTCTTATTTTTTTTTTTTTCTTTCTTCTCTCTCTATGTCTCTCTCTCTCTCTCTCTCTCTCTCTCTCTCTCTCTCTCTCTCTCTCTCTCTCTCTCTCTCTCTCTCTCTCTCTCTCTCTCTCTCTCTCTCTCTCCCTCTCTCTCTCTCTATTTCTCTCCATCTGTTCTCTTTGCTTCTGCCTTCCCATTTTTTCCTTATTCTGAATTATCATTTTTTCTTGCATGTTCTGCGGTGAGTTGAGTGTTAAGAGAAATTTAATTTTATTTTTTTCACTTCTTTTTTTGAGACAGATTTTCTCTTTCTGATTTTCTTTATTTTGATTTTTTTTTTTTTTTTTTGTCATTTCCCGTTTCATTTTACCTCTGCCTTCTTTTTCTTCTCTCTTCGTTCTTTATCTTCATTTTCTCTCATTACCTTAGTTTCTTTATTTTTCTTTTTTCTTTCATTTTAAGGGTTTACATTTAATGTTTTTTTCTTTATTCATTTTTTCTCTCTCTTCCCTGTCTTTTTTTTTTTTCTTATCTTTTCTTCTTTTCCTTTATCTTCCTGTTTTTCTTTTAATTTTGATTTGCAGGATTTAATTTTGAGATTTAGTATCTGTTAATTTTTTTTTTTCTATTTCTAACTATTTATCTATAACTATATATCTGTCTGTCTATCTTGTTAACTTACTATTTATCTACCTACCTTGAGTTGAGTGTTAAGAGAAATTTAATTTTATTTTTTTCACTTCTTTTTTTGAGACAGATTTTCTCTTTCTGATTTTCTTTATTTTGATTTTTTTCTTCTTCCTTGTTTTTCTTCGTTTTTCTTCTTCCTTCTCATTTCCATCCTTTTCCCTCTCCTCCTATTTCTCTTTTCTCTCTTATTTCCCTTCTCTCTTCCATTCCTCCATCCACCAATCTTTTTTTTCATCTTCTGTCATTTATTCTGACTCTTTTTTCATGTTAAATTTCTCTCCCTCTTTTACCCACTTTCTTTTGCTTTTTCTCTCTTCCTCTTCTTTTACCCCCTTTCTTTGCTTTTTCTTCTCTTCCTCTTCCCTTTTACCCCCTTCTTTGCTTTTTCTTCTCTCCCGCTCCCTCTTACTCCCTTTCTTAGCTTTTTCTTCTCTTCCACTTCCTTTTACCCCCTTTCTTTGCTTTCTCTTCTTTCATATTGAGAGATGGATAGATGTAATGTATAGACATTATAACGTCTCCTTCTCTTCCATTTTCCTTCTTTCTTTTCTTCATTTCTCATTATTTTCCTTCTTCCTTATTCCGTTCCTTCCTTTCTCTTTCTCTTCCTTCTTTCTTCCTTCCATACTCCTTCTCCTCTATCTTCCTTATATCCTACCTCCTCTTCTTTCCTTTTCTCTCTCTTCCTTTTTTCCTTCCTTTCTCTCTCTTTTTCTTCCTTTTAAGCCTTTGTTCCGCCTTTGTCCGGGTTTCCATCAATAAATATAAATATACAGGTACATTTTCCAGTTCCACGAGCCTGTTATCTCTTCCTCTGTCTCTCCCTGTTCTGTTTATTATCATTATTATTATTATTATTATTAATCTTTTCGTTTTTTTTTTTTTTTTTTTTGTCTTATATGTACGTTTCATTGCAATATCGTTTTGTTATTGTTATTATTATTCTTATTATTTTCTTTATCATTATTATTATTATCATTATTACTACTATTACTGCTTCTTCTTAACTACTACTACTGCTATTATTATCATTATTGTTATTATTATTGTTATCATTATTAGTATTAGTATTATCACTGATATTACTATTGCTATTGACATTATCATTATTATTATTATTATCACTGTTATCATTGGCATCATCTTCATCATTGCTGTTATCATAGTTATTATCATTATCATTGCCCTCATTTTCATTATCATTATAGTTATCATTATTTCTATGAACATCACCATCACCATTGCATTACTGTGTGATGTAGTGCAGCGGTAGCTCTCTCGTCCGACAATCTTGCTGACCTGCGCTGCCAGTGGATGGCAACCCCGGCCTTTCCTTGCCCACAGCGGTTGATTTAGAAGCAAAATGAACAGACAGCCTGACACAGCAAAGACTATCCATTGTAATAAATGGAAAATAAGCTAGGTTATTTGCTGTTACTTTCACCTTCCTTTTTAATACATCGCCTTGGTATTGTTACGCTGTTATTATTCTTTCACGTTCACGTTTTCTCTTTTTTCTTTATTTTCCATCTTTCTCTCTCTCTCTCTCTCTCTCTCTCTCTCTCTCTCTCTCTCTCTCTCTCTCTCTCTCTCTCTCTCTCTCTCTCTTATCTCTCTCTCTTATCTCTCTCTCTCTCTCTCTCTCTCTCTCTATCTATCTATCTATCTATCTATCTATCTATCTATCTCTTTCTCTCTCAGCCTTCTTTCTCTCTTTTTTCCAAACGTCTTTTATCTCAAACCCAAGTCGCCTTCGCCTTCGAGGTGAAGGACACCGAAGGGATCCTGAGGGAGGGGCGAGGGGGGTGTGTGGAAAGATGGGGTTGGAAGGGGAAAAGGTAGGGGGAAGGGGGGGGCGGAGGGTTAAGGTAGGAGGGGGAAGAGAAGGGATAGGAAGGGTGGAAGAGCAGGGAGGGGAGGTAGGAGGAGGGTAGAAGGGGGAGGCGGGGAAGGGTATCAGAAGGAGTTGGGGGAAGAGATGGGTGTGGAAGCGTAGGGAAGGAGGAAGGAAAGGAAGGGAGAAGGAAGAGGCGGGCGAGTAGGATGGGGAAGGATGGAGAGAAGGAAGCGAGAGGGGAGGCTGAACGGGAAAGGAGAGGTAAGAAGGGATAGAAGGATGAGACGAAGATTGAAGGATAAGATAGAGGGAGGGGGGGAGGGTAGCTTGGGGAAGAGAGCGGGAAGAGAAAAAGAGTTGCGCAAAAGGGGGAGAGCGAGAAAGGAAGAAGAGAGAAGAGGGAGAGAGAAAGCGTGAGAAAAGGAGAGAGAAAAATAAGAGAAAGAGGGAAGCAAAGAAAGGAGAATCAAGAGTCCCAGAAAACAATAAATAAACAAGGCTTCGCGGTCGTGTCTATTGTGTCCCGACGAAGGGAGGGAGAGGAAAGGAACGTGATAAATAGACGAATAAATTAAGATTGACATGAGGATAGACGGTCTCGTCAGGGGGAGGGGAGGGGGAGTAGGAGAGGGGAGAGGAAAGACCGGGGATAAAGGAGAGGGTGATGAGGAAAAGAGGAGAGAAGGACAGACAGACACTTGCAGAGAGAAAAAGAATGTCAGACAGAAGTGCAGGATTAACAAATGTTAGACTCCGATTTTAAACAAAATACAGAACGGTAGACAGGGACAGATAGACAGCAGACAAATAAACAAATACAAGTCACACAGATGGATAGGTAAAGGGATAGAAGGAGATACATCGTGCAGATGGCAGGCAGGCCGTCAAGCACGCAGGCAGGCAAACAGACAGACGAACAGACAGGCAGACAAACAAGTAGACAGGCAAACAGACAAACGTATAGGCAGATAGATAGGCAGACTGACTGACTGACAGAGAGACAGATAGACGTCAAACAAATACCCAAATAAAACGACAGACTGATTGAATAAGCAGATAGACCGCAGACAGATAGACCTCTATAGCAACGGCAGACACACACTGGCCATCGAAGGCCGGCAGCTAATGTTTATATTCATGATCGCTTTTCATAACCAGCAGCTGATTGCAATTCGGCCTTCACAAGCAGACGAACGGGATGATCAGTGACACAATAAAGGATAATTACTGAATTAATGTGATTTTGGAAGAATGCGATGAAAAAAAAGGAATAATAATTTTCATTTTCTTTATTTCTTTGTTTATATCATCTTCCTTTTCAGTTATTTTCGTTATTTTGTGAATGACTTTATGATCGTTGTTTCTTTTTTTTTTTTTGCTGTACTGAATTAATTAGTTACTTACCTATCAATAAAGGCCAATCTGCGTCATTAGTGTCAGTGCCAGGGTCCATTACTGTTGGGTTGGCAATCAGCATTGTCATGAACATTAACAAAAACAATTAATGTCAGTCTCTGACATTTGCTTTTGTCGCTGTTATTACTGTCATCATCAAAGAAGGATGAACAAAAGGAGGTAGAAATGCTAAACAGGAATAATGAAGGAATGGTGGATGAAAGGACAAAATATGATAATGAAGAAATGTAAATTATACGTCAACATCAAAGCCTTCCATCTCTCTAAAGGTAAGGTGACATCATTCGAGATTTTTATTTTATTTATATATTTATATTTTTTTTTCGGGGGGGGGGGGACTTTTTCTTCCCTCTTTCGATATATACGTCGATGTTTTCCTTATTATTATTCGTATACTCTTGCTTTTCATCCCAGAGATTTGAAATTTTCGAAAAAAAAGAACATGAGAAAATAAGAGAGATTTTTACGGCAAAAGAGACTTACGTTAAGGCGAGTGACGTGCTCCGCCGTGTGTACACAAGCAATGTACACACACAGAGACGATACTGTACACACTGACACATGGTTAAGGTGTGTATACAAGATTTACTACCGGTGTGTCGGATAAAAAAAAAAAAAAAAAAAAAAAAAAAGAGGAGGAGGGGGAGGAAGAGGAGGAGGGGGAGGAAGAGGAGGAGGGGGAGGAAGAGGAGGAGGGGGAGAGAGGAAGAAGATAAATTCCAGGTAATCAAATCAGGAGAAGAGCGGAGCTTGATGATAGGCCTATGTAGATGGGCGGGATCAGGTGATAGGGGGAAGAGGAGGAGGAGGAGGAGGAGGAGGAGGAAGAGAGGGGAAGGAATAGGAGGAGGAGATAGCGGGAAAGGGGGGGAGGGGAGGGAAGTGAGGGCGAGGAGAGAGAGAGAAGGGAGACAGTGCGATAGGGTGAGAGCGCGAGGAGG